GTAGCCACAGAGCATACGATAAGTAGATATATACAAGTACCCTAAGTTGGCTCTGATACCATTTGTTGGGACAAACCCGGGGCCCAATAGAGCAGGGTCGCAGCAATAGTAGAGCAAAAGTTGATACAGGTGTATCTTCTCTTCAGGAGCTTAGCGATCCTCATGAGAGCTTGAGGATAGGTGATTCTCATATCTTGGGAATAGAAGCATGGATGGAGCCAAAGAAGGCGGTGGAAGAAGTCAGCAGAAGCGAAACGTGCAAAAGAACAGGGTAACTGGCAGATCTCTGGCCGGTCGACCGCAGCACACATGTCGGTCGACCGGAAAACCTGCACGGTGCAGGGTTTGAGAAAACTCTCTGGCCGGTCGACCGGACCAAGCCTGGCGGTCGATCGGATCGCGATTTCTGGGTTTTCTGTTTCGTTTTGGATTCTGTTTTAACAGGGATTCCTTATTCTTTTGGGCTTGTTAATTTATAAGATTGCCATCCACGTTTGCACATCTATAAATAGGATTGTTTTAGGATTCTAAACAATCAGATCTCAGAGAGAAGTGATCAAGAGAAATTCTAATAATTGTATTAGGGTTTAGAGAGAGAGTTGAGAGGTTGTTCTCGATTCTAGTGAGATTGTGAGGGAGAGATTGTAATCTTTTGTTCTTCATAATCTAGAGAAGGTATTTTCCTTCGCCTTATACTGAATTGTTATTGTGTTTGGTCATCCTCTTCTCAACCCACCTTTTGGTAATTCCGCGATCAAAGGGTGCTCGCACGGCGACTCGTATCAAGTTGGTATCAGAGCATCAGATCCGGTGAAGGGGCATCCTGTGTATGGTCCTTACTCGGTCCTCATACAAGAAGCTTGGCGATATCCTTATTTTATTGGAAGGAGTCCAGGATTTAAGGAATGAGAAGATGGCTGAAGGAGATAATTCAGTGAGGATTGATGCATTAGAGAAGCAGATCGAGACGATAGGGTCGACGCTCACAAAACTCGTCGGTCTCATCCAAGGAGTGAACGAAAAGGGGGAATCTTCTTCTAGGTCTAAGAAGAAACCTATAGAGTCCGGTGGAGAGAGCGAGCTTTCAGGCTCCGACGAGGAGGACGAGATCGTCAAGGCTGCACCGCATCAAGGGGTAAGAATTCTTACCAGAATCTGAAGATTGATTTCAGAGTGGATATTCCTATTTATGATGGGAGTGTTGACGTCGAGAGGCTTGATGACTGGATCGAGCGGATGGAGACGTATTTTACTCTTTATGGCTATTCGTCAAAAGAGAAGATTGTGTTCGCGACTTTGAAGCTTTCAGGACATGCGTTGACGTGGTGGAAATCCTATTACAAGCAGGAGAAGAAGGCGGTGTCGTGGAACAAGTTCAAGGAGCTACTTAGGAAACAGTTCTATCCGGTGGGATTCCTTGAGGAGCGTTGGTACAAGTGGTATGGCTTACGCCAAAGGGTCAATCAAACCGTTTAAGAATACACTACGGAGTTCCAGCAGCAGGCGATGGTCCTCAACATTGCGACAGAGGAATATTCTGTGTTTATGAAGTATATGGCGGGATTGAGCGATTACATCCGGAAGGAGATGAGGTTATTCACGGTCGAGACTATTGCAGATGCGAGCGTGAAGGCCATTGCCATTGAGGGCAAGCAAAAGAAGAGCAACGAAGCAAAGGGGGATGCAAAGCAAGTTGGAGGCGAGTATAGTGGTTCTCAGTTTAAGGAGGAGAAGAAGAAGGGTGATCCAGGGAAAGCGGGGCTGATTTGTAGTCACTGCGAGAAGACAGGGCACGAAGCTGATCGGTGCTGGGAGAAGTATCCTCATCTCAAGCCAAGAGGGTTGAAGAAGAAGGAGGAGAAAAAGACATATATGATAGCTCAAGGTCCGAAAGAAGTCCCGGGGATGACAGAGCCTAATAGCAGTCTCAATCTTATGACGGGAAAACAGGCCACGAAAGAGGACGACGACCCGAGAGAGCAGCTCTTTGTTCTTAAGTTTCAAGTGAAGACCAGTTTGGTTGATACCATAGTTGATCCGGGTAGCAAGAAGAATTTGATATCCGAAGCCTTGGTTCAGAAGCTGAGTCTGAAGACGGTCAAGCATCCGAAGCCCTATCCATTGGGGTGGATTCAGAAGGAGGAAAAGCTAAGTGTAGTTGATCGATGCACTGTAAGATTTGCACTCCATGAGTCGTATATTGACGAGGTCACATGCGACGTAGTTCCATTGGATGTTTGTCAGATTATACTGGGTAATCCGTACTTATGGGATAGATATGCGATCTACGAGAGGCGGGCTCAGAAGTATACATTCACCAAGGGTGGTGAAAAGTTCATATTTCGTTCGGTATCTCTTCCGAGGGAGACAAGCTTGGGAACGGTGACGCGAGCGAAGAGGTTAGTGAATGCAAGCAAGAAGTTTGTCTCGCTGTGCATTAGACTTCCAGAAAAGCCATCGATTAAGGATTGCAACTTGGAACAAGAAGTGACTACGACGAGATGCGGGATGAATGAGTTATTTCCGATCGGACGTCGAGATCAGATTTCTAGCAAGGCCAGGTGGTTCAGAAAAGGAGGAGGGGCTCGCGAGTTCCCTCAGTTTCAGTTTTAACTTGAACGGGACTTCAAGTTCCTAAAGGGGGGACCCATGATACGGGTGTATCTTCTCTTCAGGAGCTTAGCGATCCTCATGGGAGCTTGAGGATAGGAGATTCTCATATTTTGGGAATAGAAGCATGGATGGATCCAAAGAAGGCGGTGGAAGAAGTCAGCAGAAGCGAAACGTGCAAAAGAACAGGGTAACTGACAGATCTCTGGCCGGTCGACCACAGCACACATGCCGATCGACCGGAAAACCTGCACGGTGCAGGGTTTGAGAAAACTCTCTGGCAGGTCGACCGGACCAAGCCTAGCGGTCGACCGGATCGCGATTTCTGAGTTTCCTGTTTCGTTTTGGATTCTGTTTTGACAGGGATTCCTTATTCTTTTGGGCTTATTTATTTACAAGATTACCATCCACGTTTGCACATCTATAAATAGGATTGTTTTAGGGTTCTAAACAATCAGATCTCAAAGAGAAGTGATCAAGAGAAATTCTAATAATTGTATTAGGGTTTAGAGAGAGAGTTGAGAGGTTGTTCTCGATTCTAGTGAGATTGTGAGGGAGAGATTGTAATCTTTTGTTCTTCATAATCTAGAGAAGGTATTTTCCTTCGCCTTATACTGAATTGTTATTGTGTTTGGTCATCCTCTTCTCAACCCACCTTTTGGTAATTCCGCGACCAAAGTGTGCTCGCACGGCGACTCGTGTCAAAAGTAGATATAAAATGTTAGACACACAGATTTACATGGTTCGGCACTTGATTGCCTACGTCCACGGGCAAGGATAGAAGAATTCACTATGAGGAGAAAACTCTGGAGTTACAATCTCTCTTTCTAAGGAGATACTCTCTCTATTTTTTCTCTCACACTCTTCTATATAAGAAGTTGTTTCTGGGATGAGATTTCCTTAAGGATTTGGAGTCCTATTTATAGTTTTCAGAAAAACACTATGCATAATAAAATAATAATAAATTACTATGCATTTACATTATAATAATGATGTGGGGCCTGCTCCTTTATCCAAAGTCAAAAAATGGCTGCTGCTTCTTTCGGTGGGTTTGGAATATTAGGCGCCTGACATAAACATCTCATTAAACTGATTATGTAATCATGTCTTCTCCATGTTATCTTTGCTTCATTAAGATTTTATGAACTATCAAGGTGAAATTGATGCATTATATTATGATTTCTTAAGTATGCCAATGCTTCGTATTTGGTCATCATATTTGCAAATAGTTATTGATGGTTTTTTTAGACTGTAAACCAATTATATAGTAGCAAATGAAATGTCCCCTTGAAAATCCGTGGACACTATGCATATTTTTTTCTATAAGTTCCAGCAGCCAGACAGCATTCCATTCTGTTTCTTTCTTTCTGAGACTTGAATTTTGAAGTCAATAAATTCAAATAAAATCATTTCAATAGTTGTACTGTTGTTGATCAAGTCTTTCTTGAATTTTGAAGTCAATAAATTCAAATAAAATCATTTCAATAGTTGTACTGTTGTTGATCAAGTCTTTGAACTCATCTTTGTTGGATCTTTAACCTTTCTTAATTTTTAAACCACTGACTACCTCCCATCTTCTCATCATATTAATAAATCTTTTACCCTAACCAATCTGAAATTTATTCTTTCTTTTGGAAACCAATTCATGTGTACTATGAACCACATCAATTACGATCTATATATATCCTAATTTTTGATATGTTTCAACTACAAAAGTATTTGAAAGATATATGGGTTGTTGAGAGTTATTAGTGATATGAGACAAGTGGTAGCTGTGTAGTCTAAGAGGCAAGTAATTAAGTTTTTGAGTCTAGATTAGTTCTATAATGTTGCATTGATTCTTTGGTATAAATAGTTTTTTGGCAAGTTGGTTGGTAACTCAAAGTCAAGTCTCTCCTGACTTTGAATTTTTTTTAATCTATAATCATTATGTTTATCTCTTTCAACTAATGCTTGGTCTTCTTTGTCGATCAGTTCTCTCGTCTTCTAGAGAAACTATGTAGCGAATAGCATACAACATTCGTTTGACAGTTCGTGGTCAAAAAGAATAACCACTAAAGTAGTGCGTTGTCAAGTGAACATAAACTATTGGATAATTTTTCAATTTATTGACATGGATCGGTTCTTTTGTCTCATACAGCCACCATCATTTTCCATCCATCTCTCCCTTTAGCAGACTAGGACCACAATCTTACGTAAATGGCTTAATAAGTTCAATTTCAGTTAGATGATTGGTGTGAAAGATTGCAAGCTGAGATGAGCCCCACAGAGGATTGTCTAAATGACCAGTTGGCTCAACTTGAATGAGTATAGGTTGTCTGTGACTAAAGACCAAAGAGAATGAAGAGGGGGCATTAAAAGCAAATAGAGATTGTACTTGAGAGAGAAAGGGATATAAGGGGGAAAACAAGGGAAATGGGGAACTGCATGGGCTTTTCTAGGAAATCTTTGAGCCCTCCCAACACCAAGCTGTGTAGAAGTTCTCCAGGTATTTTGTAATTTGGTTTAACCTTTTTTGTAATTATTTGTATTTTACTACAAAATTTGAATGAAACAAGATATGGGCAAGTTATCATTCATGTTTTGTGATAGAAACTCAGTTTGCATTGCATTTTTGATGTTTCCTTTCGTTTGGTTATGGGATGAATTCATTACTGAGACTTGGTCTACAGAACCTTCAACTTCAAAGGCTAGCAACCAAAGAACTACTGATCAGCCTGCGGGAAAGTCTACAAGTAGAGAAAAGGTTCGGCCAGTAGATCAAAATCTTCAAGCTGGGAACCTAAGAGTGTACTCATTAGCAGAGCTCAAGATGGCTACCGAGAATTTTAAGCCCCAAGCAATTATTGGTGAAGGAGAGTTTGGCAAAGTATTCAAAGGATGGGTGGATAAAAACACTCTGAACCCTGCAATCAGTGGCAATGGGATGCCGATCGCTGTGAAAAGATACTATTTGGAGAATATGCAAGGGTTGGAGGAATGGCTGGTGAGTGTACAGACACATTAATATTTTTAAAGTCTTTTGCACTGCACTAGAACTGTAAGGTTGTGACGAGGGCTGAGGTATACAATCGTACAATCTAAGATGTCTCTACAGATCAAGTCATTTTTCATGCGCTGAAATCTAGACTCGCACAACACTAATTTAAATTTGTGAGTAGTAGGATCTAGACCTGTACGTATTACATTGGTACCATCTTATATTTCTGCAGCATAATTTTGATGTTTTGGCATAGAGGAATTGGAGTATTTTAGCTTCAAATCCTAGTGGATAGGTATTTAAAAGCATATTATAACACTCATATTGCTCCATGAGTTCAGTTTCAGTCCCTCAAATGTACTCTCACCATGTTGAAGCATCTTTGAGAACAAATTATAACCCTCAACCTTCATCAAAACTTTGTAATACTGATACAATGAAATTAACTTCATGAAGTACTCTCGAAACTATAAATAATGATTGCTTAAGTTTGCTTGTTTACTGAACAGTAATTTGTTTTTATTTATTTATTTTTTTCTTGCATTTCAGTCTGAAATTAGGTTTTCGGGGAAGCTTTCACACCCAAATGTGGTTAAACTCTTAGGATGTTGCAGAAAGGACAGAGAGCTTGTTCTTGTATATGAATTTATGCAACTGGGAAGCTTAGAGAAACACCTATTTGCAAGTGAGTTTTGAGCATGTAATTTTTGATTTCTTACTGTTGATAACCAAAAAAAAGTTGCATGTTTTCTTGTTCCTAGTTAACCATAGGCATTGGTCAAAAAAAAGATACACATTCTTTGAAATGCACCAAGTTTCTAAGAAATTTGTCCTGATATATTTGATACATACGTAAATATCAAGAACATGGACAGAAAGCTTAATTTTAAAGGTACCTAGCATTGTAATATGCCAGCTGATAAAGTATCTTAAGGGGTGAAATTCAGATATTTGGACTAACAGAAGAATTCATAATTCCACTTGTGCTTTAATCAACAACAACAACAGCAACAATGATAATAATTATGAATTTTTGTGCAGGCGGAAAAGGGTTTAAGTTGCTCTCTTGGAGCACACGGCTGAAAATAGCCATCAATGCAGCTCAAGGACTTGCATTCTTACACAATTTAGATAAACAAGTCATCTACCGCAATTTCAAAACCTCAAACATCCTACTTGATTCGGTTTGACTCTATGTTCACAAAAATTATACTTTCAATGCGTTAATCAAAAAATGCATAAGTTCTTGATCTCTTCATTAGGGTTACAATGCCAAGCTATCTGATTTCGGTTTGGCGAAAAATGGGCCAACTGATGAAGCCTCTCATGTAATCACCAAACTTAAGGGTACCTATGGATATGCCGCCCCAGAATATGTAGCCACAGGTTAGTACATACTACATAGTATATATAGGGTTAATTCGTAGACCCTATATAGTATTGTTGTTTTAAACTTACTACTTTGTACTTTCATTGTTGGAAATAAGGCCCCTGGGTTAATTTTCTTTTTTACTCTTTTTACCCTCAGACTCACTAATTTCACCTAGAAGCATTATCTACCAAAATTTCACCAAGGATAGAAAAGTTGAAAAAGTTTAGCCCAGGGTGTTGATCTGTTATAATGAAACTACAAGGACAATAATTTCAATACGAACAATCTTAAGGAGGTTCTATCTACAATTAACTAAGCAATTAACTCTAGTATATATGTATATGTACATATAATTCTCTATGGACTAAATCTTTATCCACTGTATCATCAATCCCTAGGACACTTGTACGTGAAGAGTGATGTGTACAGCTTTGGAGTAGTACTACTTGAGATTCTTTCCGGTAAACGAGCATTCGATCCAATTCGATCAAACGGAAAGCAATACTTAGTTGACTGGGCTAAGCCATACTTATCGAATTACATAAAACTCACTCGTGTTATGGATCCTAACCTCAAGGGACAATATCCGTCGAAAGGAGCTCTTCAAGTGTCTCAGCTTATATTGAGGTGTCTTTCTTATGATAGAAAGGCGAGGCCTTCAATGAGAGAAGTCGTGGAGGTTCTTGAGCAAGTTGAAGAAATGGAAGTGAAAGAGTCATCAAAGTCGTCATGGGGTTGTAACAGGGGTCAGGATTCTGTGTCTCACCCGCTACCGCTTCCTTTAAGGCGTAATGGTGCTCATGTTAAGGTTGCACACCGTTCTTCAAAAGTTAGACGATATGTAGCATAGTTTCTGTGTTTTGAAACGGATGTTGATGTGTTATGTGTTTTTGTATTCAATTTGAATTAACAGAATGATCCAAAAAAAAGAAAGGCAATATGATCAGTTTGGAATTATGTTATCTTCTATGAGAGACCAAGGAAAGTATTTTTAACACGTCTATGAAAGTATTTTTAACACGTCTATAAAAGTATTAATGTATTGCAAGGGATGTTTCTGTTCATTAATGTATTTTTCTATATATACTGAAGAAGTAAGCTGATCAGTTTGAAGTTGTATATGTTTTCTGAAAATGCAAGAAATATCCAAGGAAATGGTATTTCTGAAGTGCAAGGACCAATTATTTTCAATATATTTTTTAGGAAAATTTATGTTCAGTGTGGTAAATTTCTGGTGCCATGATTATTAATTGCTCCTGTTCAAAGTATTTTTTTGGAAATTCAGGTCAAAAGACCAATTATTTTCCAAAATTTTCACCCAATGTTTCCGGAGGAAAGTTATTTTCTTATGGTCAAAAACCTGATGCTACATTCAACTAGAGAGACTCTTTGATATTTATTATAAAGGCAGATATTTATTAACGGGTTTCCATTAACTAGCAATTTAACATGCTTTTATCTGTTGTACAATTTCCAGCAATTGTATGATCAGTTTATGGATCAACTATGTACTTCCAAGTGATTTATATTTTAACTTTGTTATCATACTTATCATTATTCAAAGTCTAGTTTGACACCTGAACTATGACCAAGTCATAGTGACATTTGCAAATAATTATATTGTTTGTGTAAATAAGTAAGGATTGCATGCTTTCTATTTGTCGATAGCATATAGCACTGACTTCTTGGGTAGCATGCCTTCTATTTTTCAACAGCATAAAGCACCGACTTCTTTTGTCAAATATAGTAATATGTGTTCTCCATATTTTATCATCTCTATCAGGTAGCACATAACTATATGGTAGGCAACATATTCTCTTTTTATTCTCTCTCTTAATTTTCTAAGTCTCAATCTTTGTATAAACAAATATCACATGTGCTAGAACTGAGATACAAGAATATGAATAAGCAAGTCCAGTTTTAGCTTTTAAAAATCGTTCATTGGAAAGGACCATGTTAATACATTTTGAACCCGATGAAAAATTCTTCATGGCCTTTTCCAAATCACTAATGTTGGACTTAAGTTTTTCATTTTCGAAAATAATTGTAGTGCATCGAGTTTCAAACTTAATTTGTTCTAATGACAAATCACAATATAACTCATTTATCTTAGCATTTCACATAGATTATTTTCAAGTTGCATAGATAAACAAGAAATTTGATTTTGTAATTCAAAACATTGTATGCATCCAAAAGAGGTTGTATCAACTGAATTCAAATTTGAAGAGAAAAATTCAACTTACTTGACAAAAGTTTATTTTTTTTCTTCAAGTTTGTATTCTTCTTTTTAGTTTCTTCATATCTATGAGCAATATTTTCTAAATGAATTAACATCTCTTCATACTTAGAATAAAGCTTATCATAAGAAGGATATACCTTTTCATCAGAGTACTCACCACTAGAACCACTTGCGCTACTCTGATCTGAATCTGAAAATAATTTGCCTCTTCCCATAATTCATATGCATGCTCTTTTATCATCATCGCTCGTACTACTCTCTGAATCCTCCCAATTAGTCATTTTAGAACTTTTGCCCTTCCCTTTATAGTCATTTTGGTTCAATGGGCAATTCTTCTTCAGGTGGCCAGGTTTCCTTCGTCGAAAATAAATTAATTTAGTATCAAAGTCACTAGAATTATATTTATTTACCTTGCTTGTATAGTGGTCCCATTTGTAATGCAAGAACTTTTACCATCCTTTGACTTAAGGAAAGATTTATAGCCTTTAAAAATTCTGTCATCATTGTCTTCAGAGCTCGAGCCTGACTCCTTCTTCTTCTTTGATTGGGATTTCTCCCTTTTTGCTATAAAGGCTAACGTCTTTTTCTTTGAATCATCTTTTCAGACTTCTGCTCTCTCTTTCAATTGGACTTCATACATGATGAGATTGCCTACGAGATCATCAAGTGAAAGTTTAGAAAATTTTTGAATTCTATTATAGCTGTTACCTTTGGTTCCCAATCCCAAGATAGAGAATGGAGTATTTTGCTGCATAACTCCTTATTGTCATACTCCTTCCCTAAAGCTTTTAACTTTTTCATGATATTGGTGAATCGTGTAAACAATTCCCAAATGCTTTCTGATGCATTCATCTTGAAATTCTCATATTTGCTTACCATCATTGCTAGCTTTGCCTCCTTCACCGATGAAGTTCCTTCGTATGTGACTTAAAGTGTTTTCCAAATTTTTTTGCACAATAGTATAATTAGAAATACGGTTAAATTCTTCAGTAGCAAGAGAGCAATATTAAACATTCATGGCTTTTGAATTATGAGAATGAATTTGTTTAATCTGTAGCATCCACTTATCCTTAAGTAGAATAACTATAACACCATCTACCTCAGTAGTAGGTTCCTTATATCCACCCAAATTTTACACATTCCCAAAATGACAACAGATAAATTTTAATACATACTTTCTAATATGTGTAATTTGTGCCATCAAAAAGTGGGAGTTGGTTGAGAGCTTATTCTTAAGAAAAAGCTACAACGATGATACAATTTAACATCTCTACCCTAGGTTATGATATATAAAGATGGGTAACGAGACTCTGACGCTACTTGTTGGAACTGGGATTCAAGACTAGGGGGATGGGAGGGGAAATAGGATTGCTATAATTTTTTTGACTAAACTCAGAATATGAAGCGGAAATAAAATATATGAAAAGATGAAAGCAACCAACACAGGAATGCATGAGATTTTTATAGTGGATCAAATTAAAATCTTATGTCCACTCTTTCTTCTCACAAAGAGCCTTCTTCACTAGGATCAGAGTTCTTCTAAATCACAACCAAATTCAATTGGCTTTATAGACAGGACCTTGAAATCCACTCCAAGCTAATTGAAATTCCCAACTCCTCATAATGACCAGAAAAACCTAGTCCTAGCTAGCCACCCTCAATTCACCTGGATTGAGTATGCCAACCTCAATTACACTATCCTGAGTACACCGTCAAACTCACAAGTTTAAAATATAAAACCAACTTAAAAAATAACTAAAGTGAAAATAAAAAGATCATACAGCCTTATAAATAAATCACTCTCCAAAACGTTGAGGTTGAAGATGTGTAAAGAAGCGATGTCATAGATGAATGAAAGGGACACTTCTTATTGCTGAAAATAATCCTTTGATGTTGTGCAGAACGAGAAGAAGTTGAACAAAGCTCTGGGATTTAAATTCTCAAATCAAATTCTCTCACAATACCCTAGCATAGATCTCTCCTTTTTCTTTGTTCTCTTTCTTCTCTATTATGATCCCTATCTCCTCTTATATAGGCCTTGATAAGACAAGAAAGAGATACCCAAATCAGAGTCCAAATTAGAAATCGAAGGGGTCAATGGACGATTGAGATTAAATCTAGAAATCTGCCAAAACTCGTAGCGACCTCGAATGGTTGATCACGATCATCGATGGTTGTCTGTAGTCCATCAATTGTGCAAGTTCCGCCTTTTGGATTTTAGTGATTGTTGACTATAGTCCATTAATAGTTCTTGCAATCATTGATGGTTGACCGTATATCTTTGATGGTTCAATTTCAAATTTTTATTTTTTTATTATTTCCGGTAGTCCATTGATGACTAGACTCGATAATCAATGGTGCTTTGTGAACATCAATGGTTCAAAGGCTGAAATCAATATTTGTGTTGATTTTTACATTATTTTGACATAACTCGTTCGTATCTGTTTATATCTAAAATATATCATCTCAAAAACATATCACTAGCAAATGAGAATTTATTATTTATCAAACAAGAGATATTGCACAAACAATGTTACATTCCAAACAACGTTCTAACAATCTCCTCCTTTTGATAATAACAAAACTCAAAATTTAAAATACAGAATGTAAAACATGTTGAGATATATATTCAGTACATGATAACCTTATAACTTATATGATATGTGTAGGTATCGAAAATTACCTATAGGTCTCCACGAACAGCTTAGTGTTAAGAAATGACGATGAACATCACCATCTGCCACGAACAGCTTAGTGTTAAGAAATGACGATGAACATCACCATCTGGTTCACAGAAGCTTGATTGATGTTGGTGAACGCTTGAAGTAAACCGACGAAATCTGGTTCACAGAAGCTTGATTGATGTTGGTGAACGCTTGAAGTAAACCGACGAACTACGTGAAACAACAGAACTTTGGAATGATGAAGATATGAACCGATCGGGAACCTCGTATCGTTCACAAACGGTGAAATACCCTTCGTGTCTCATTTATTCTGCGGATGATTTAATCATTGGAACTTGTAGAACTCCTCGTCAGCTTTCCAACGTACTTGGAATCACTCAAATCCGAGTTCGGACGAAGAATTTACGGCGGAAATAATCAAACAGGCATAACGAGCGTCTCAGGCTAAACTGAGACACCCGAGGTGTCTCGGCCAAGGCCGAGACACCCTTGGGTGTCTCGGCCCTGGTTGAGACACCCGAGGGTGTCTCCAACTCAGATTCGTCCCGTGCCTATAAATACAAGCCCCGGAGCCTCATTTTTTGGGATCTGGAATTTTGGAGATTAGGCGAAGCCCTGCCGGATTGAAGACTGAAGGTGCACGAATTTCAGAGAGGAGGAGGAGAGATCGGATCGAGTTCTTCAACGTAAGAGAGAGAGATTCGTCAGATCTACAGTTTCTCGGATCCGTTCCTTAAGATTATCCCGTTGCGATAATCTTAAGAAGAGTGATTATCTCGCTTCGCCGAGATAAGAGCTACGGTTTCTCGATCCCTTCGCGGATAGACGAAACTCTGCCCAATTTTTTAGCAATCAGATCTGAATGACGGTGGTCCACGGATAAACCCCGGCACAGGCAAAGATCCTACACAAGCAGAAGACCGATAAACGATCTCTGCGTTTGTTTGATAAAGTTGTAAACTTTTTATTTTCATTGTGTAAGGAGATCTTATAAAAAGATCAACCTTTTTATTTCATTCGAGTTT